CAATTCAATTTTGAATACGATTTTAATAATCAAATTTCTCGAAAAAATTCACTCATTTTCTAACAATTGAAAAAGTTTTTAGAAATAATTCAATTATTTTCAAAAATTTAAATAAAATTCTTTGGAAGAACTCAATTATTTTCAAAAATTTGAATATAATTCTTTAGAAGGAATTTAATTATTCCTTATTCGATTTTAATTAAATTCCTTAAAATAATTCAATTATTTTCAAAAATCTGAATAAAATTTTACTCAAGAAATAAGTGATTTTGGATTAAAAATTGTAAAAGTTATTCTTTAATTTCAATTCTATTTTTTTTTTAGAAAAATAAATTTAAACTACTTTATATGAAATATAAACTAATTATTATTATAGTCATGAAATAGAATTTTTTTTTAAACATTTGCAAAATATTTCTTTCTCATTATGTTGTTTTTTTTTAAATAAAGTATTAGTCAAAGACAAATTTAGAACATATGACTCATATTATGGAGATTGTGGTCGAGGAGACTAGAAAGTATCATACGATACTGGGAGGCGATGAATCATACACAACGATTTTGGGGATTTTTCTCTGATTCTTTCTAGGAGCATCAATACATGTATTTGCTCACAATTTTACGTAAGCAAAATTAATCGACGTTCTGTCTATTTTTATAATTGGAATATTCTGAAATTTAATTTAATTCTATAATTGAATAATTTAATAAATTACGCTCTTTTCTTTTTCTCTTTGTAAACTCGTTTACATGTAAATAAATAAATGAATTATAATTAATTCATTTACAAGTTTAGTAATTTTTCCAAATATTGGAACTCAATGAATTTTTTCCTTTTTTTCAATGTTCAAAACTTTACCGAAATTAAATATTAAAGAAAATTAATTAATTCAGTAAAGAAATTAATAATATAATTAAAATTATATTATTATAATAATTATTTACTATTATTATTATTATATAAATATTATAAAAATATATAAATACTTTCAATATAAAATTTTGCAGAATATATAATAAAAAAAATCATTTCTAATTTCTTATCATTGAGACTATTTAAAAATTTTTATTTATATTTTACTACCAATTTCCATCATTTTATTGTAAGTTACACACATCGTTTAAATATTCTATTTTTTAAATTTTAAACGATTTACGAATAATTTAAAAAACTACATTAAAAAATAGTTACAAAACTTTCTCATTAAAAAATCATTAGGAATAATTTTGAAATTCTACTCCAATTAATAATTAAAATTAGATCAATTATTTCAGAATCAAATATCTGATTTTTGGAACAATAACTACATTATTTTTCAAAGATAAGAAAAAAGTATTTTCTTTTCTTCGCTTTTTCACCTTAAAAATTTTAATATTAAAAAAAAATTATTTTCCGCTCTCTAAATCTGAATCAGCGAAATTTCACTGATTCTCAGCGATAAGTATGCCACTATTTCAATTAGCGTATATGCGCTAATTAATCAGTGAAGTTTCACTGATTATTTAGTGAAATTTCACTAATTCACAGCGCATATACGCTAATTGAAATAGTGGCATACTTATCGCTGAGAATCAGTGAAATTTCGCTGATTCAGATTTAGAGAGCGTTGCATTGGAAAAAAATTTCTACCTCGAAGAAATTAACTATTGGCCATTTACAGCAAAACAAAGAAAAGTCATAAATGTCATTCAAGCGTTTAGTCACGAAACCGATACACGGCCAATAATTCAAAATGGATTTAAAAATTAAATTAAACGTTAAAAACTCATTTTCCTCGAACATTATGTAAAAACTATTTTTAAGCTTCACAATTTTACTTATGAAATTGGCAAAATTGTATAATAATAATAATTTTCAATAATCAAGAGAAAATAATTTATAAACGATTTAAAAAAATAATTAATATTTAATTTAAAAAAATGTCAACTTCTGAAATTTAATAATTTCTAAAAATTAAAACTATAACCCTTCCAAAAATTTAATTATTTTCTACAATTTTAAACCAAACTTCATCTCTAAATCAATTATCTATATTAATTTTTAATAATTTTCCGAAAGTTCTTCGAGAATTCAATTATTTAAATATAAAAATTCAATTTTTTATAATAATTGGAACCGTAAATTTTTCTTTCTAAAGATATTATTATTAATTATTATTTTTATTTTTAAAAATTTTAATAAAGAAATTTGTAAAATTAACTTTTTAAAAATATTTCTAAATAATTTTTTAATGACAATAGTTTTACAATTACATACAATTAAAAAATGTCCAAAACATTGAAATTTGGTCAAATCTTTTAAAAAATAATTTAAATTTATAGTAAAATCTTTGAAAAATAATTTAAATTTGATAAAATCTTTGAAAAATAATTGAATTTTAAAAAATTAGAACGAAATAATTCAGAGAATTACATTTTATTCAAAACTATTTTAATATTATTTCTAGAATCTAATTTTTATTGAATTTACACTTAAAGACTTCATTAAAATTTTTGAGAATTGAATTATTTCCAAAATTTTCAATTAAAATTCTTTAAAAGTTAATTTTCAAAAATTGTAATAAAATACTTGAGAAAATGATTTATTTTCAATTAATTTTTACAAAATTTCAATTATTTAAAAACCTAATTTTTATTAATATTCATTTTAATTGAATTTACACTTGAAGATTATTCATTAAAATTTTTAAGAATTAAATTATTTCCAAAATTTTCAATTAAAATTTTTTAAATGTTAATTTTCAAAAATTGTAAGAAAATATACTTGATACAAAAATTAATTAGTTTCAATTAAATTTCACAAAATTTCAATTATTCAAAATCTTTTTAATTGTATATTTCAAAAATTTAATTAGAAAAATTATTCAAAAATAACTTTTTAAAGATTTGTCTAGTTATGCTTTTCACACTATAAAAATAGAAATAAGTTGCATTTTATTCTAAAAATTTGGTATTTTGTCGCAAAATTTGGAAGAAAAGTCGAAAATGTCTCATTATTTGAAAATAGTCGAAAAAAGTCGAAAAAGTCATAATATCCGAGGACTGAAATTTTTAATACTTTGAAAAAAGTTCATTTCTGTATAAATTGCAAATAAATTCAAAAAAATTAATTTTAAAATGAAAAATACAAAATAAGCCCTAAAGAATCAGAAAAAAACAATCGATTTTTCAAAAATTAACTACAATTACCTTCGCAAAGAATAAAAAAAGAACACTTTGGAAAAGTGATTTTATTGTCAAATTCTAATTCACTTTCGCTTCCTTTAAGGCAAAAAATTTTGTTTTTGAAAAGAGTCTCAAAAATACTCCAGTTTTCGAATTTATTCCCAAAAAAGAGAAATATGTGGAGAGAGATGGAAAAGAGATGACAAATTTTCAGTTAAAAATCGATAAAGAGGAGAAAAAACTTAACAAGAATCTAAAGAAGGGAAATCGTATTTATTTTAAGAGCAAAGCGAGCAAAGTAAAAAATTAATGAACGCAAGAAAATAGAGAAGAAAAAACGTGAATAAAAAATGATTTCTAACTACGGCACTGGGAATTGCTTCCAGGCCGGCCGGCTGTCGCCATTTTGGCAGCCGAGACCGGAAAGTGTGCTCGTGGACACTAAGTTCACGCAGCTGGCGATTTTTATCTCAACTTTTTCGTCCGTTCCACCAAGAGCCATATCTAAGTAAACGAAAATCCCTTCTATCCCCAAACTCTTTCTACCATTTAGTCAATATATCGTTTCATAAAGATCAAACTGAATCAACCGGAAACGGATGAAACGTAATCCTCGCAAACGTCATTGTACATCTAAAAAAAACCCCCATTGTAATCTTATTCAGATAATTGCAAAAACAATGCAATTTCCCAAAGTCCTCCAAAAAAGGATAATTTAATAAATTTCCAATTTTTACGAAAAAAGAAAGGAGTATTTAGTCTTCACTTTGAAAACTACTTCGATTTGCTTTTAACCTTTCAGAAAACCTTTTCCTTGACATTTAAAGAGTATTTTTACATGAAAAAGAAATTTTCTAACCTCTCCAAGTTCTAAACTATCAAAACTATAAGTTTTCTTTTCTTTCAAAAATTCGTTTTCAAGAACGGACTTTCTTTGGTGAATAAATTAATCTCCAAAAAGTAAACTATGACAGAGAGAAATTCAAAGAATCGACAAAGAAATGTGCTTGAGAAATTTCGACGCCAGCTCCGCCACACCCTGAAATTCAGGAAAGTCATGCTTTTCGGAGACATTTTCCCGAAAAAAAAGGACAAAGAAAAAATTAGGCTTACTTTCTTTCTTAAACATTATAAAAGTCTTGGTATTTTCCCCCGCAAGGAAAAATGGAAAATTTCAGGACCAAATGTAAAAAAGAAATGGGAGAGGCTGTTTTTGAAAAAAAATTTCCCACACCACGCCGTGGAGCGAATAACATCACAAGGATCGATATGGTGTGTGTTCTCGTATGCAGAGGAGAGCAAATGCCCGGGTAAACGGATAAAAGCAACTCCCGTTTCAACAGCATCGACGAGGAGCACCTGGTGACAAACGAAGCGCAACCATAACCCTCGTTTTGTACGAATTTCGCATCACGTCATAACTACGTGGCAGCAGACTCGTCCTTTTTTTCCCCCCCGGGAGGAAAGATCCGCCAACCGGCGTTCCAACCTCTTTTTCACTTACAGCCTCTCCCGTTCAGGAAGAAGCTTCATTGAGAGAGAGTTGAAAAATCTCACAAGATGTCCTCCCCGCTCGAGATTTAAACAAAAAGAAAATTAATTCCAACCCCACACACTCATCCTAAAAATTCTTTACTCGAGATTTTTTTCCTTAATCAATTAACTTGATGCGTCGTAGAGGGCGAGGGCGCTGCTTTTTTTTATATTTCTTTTCATTAAAAAATCAGTACTTCTACTTTTCATTTTTGAAAACTTGATTAAAATATACGAAATAAAAAGTGGGATGCACGCTATAAAAAGAGAGGGATTTCCAAGAAAGTGGGAGGATTACTCACTTCGAAGCCATCCGATTTTGCCCAGACATTTCCGTCAAGTCCGGCGATAGCCGCTTTGGTTACACATTTTGATGCAAGCAATTGCTTGTCAATATAATCCTGCCAGCTCATTTTTTAACACAGGAGGAGTTAAAACTCAACTGTTCGTTAATTAAAAACCACACTAAAAAAGATACACAGACACTACCCGTCACCTACTGGATCGGTTTCAAGACTACTGCCCCGCGCTTCATGCCGGGTTTGCCCTTCTCCTGCCCATAACCAATACAACGAAAATCCCCACCCCTGACTTTTTCTCCCCCAGGAGCGTAGCGCTTTACTTTTGGCGACCTGCACTTTCACGAGGCGGGAAAATTTGAATATTCAAAAATTTATTTTTTTATTATTGGAATTTTTCCAGGTTTTTAAAACTACATTTATATTTTACCTAATTAAATAACTCTCTGATTTCCTGAAAAAACTTTGACGAATTTATTTAGTTATTCGAAAACATCAAAAACTTCATTTTTAAATAAATATTTAATCATTATTATATTTTTATTATTATTATTTATTATTATTTATTACTATTATATTATTTTTCTAATTCTACATAATTATTAATTAAAAGTGTGAAAAATTTAGAATTTCAAAGTTTTTAATTGAATTATCATAAAGAATTTTATAAACAAAATTTTAAATAATTGAATTATCATAAAGAATTTTATAAACAAAATTTTAAATAATTGAATTATCATGACAAGTTTTAATAAAATTTTTAAAAATAATTTCATTTTTCGAGAAATTTGATTAAAATTGTACTTTAATTGAATTTTAAAAATTGAACTTTGCCAAAGAATTTTATAAAAGTTTTTGATAATAATGCTTGTGATATTTCAGGAATTCAATTCTTTTTAATACAATTTTGATAAAATTTTTCGAACGGTTTCAATTATTTTTAGAAACTGCAAAAAAAAATTTCTAAAAAATTCAATTATTCTCAAAAGTTTTGATCAAATTGTTTGTAAAATTGAATTATTTTAGAAATGTTCAATTAAAAAAAAACAAAATTTAATAAATTTAAAGAAATCCTTTAAAAAAAAATTTAATTGTTTACTAAAAGTCTAATAAAGCTTAAAATAATTTTAATAAAATTATTAATTACAGTTATTAATTTTCACGATTATTTTAGAAACTTCAAAAAAGTTCTTCTAGAATTCAATTATTTAAATAGAAAAATTCAATTTTATATATAACTGTAACTTTTCATTGGTTTCTTCTAAACTAATTAAAAATTGAAATTATATTAATTAAATTAAATTAATTTAAATTTAACTTAAATTTAAAAAATTGCAATTAAAAAATTCTAAGAATTACTTTTTAAAAAATATTTTAATACAACTTTTCGAAGCTACTTTTCATAAATTTGCACTTCAAGATTTTCCATTAAATATTTTGAAAATTCAATTATTTTTAAATTTTACAATTAAAATCCTTCAAAAGTTTATTTTAAAAAATTAAAATAAAATACTTGAAAAAATCAATAACATTTTCATTTAAATTTTACAAAATTTCAAATATTTAAAATGCTTTTAATTGTATATTTCAAAAATTTAATTACATAAATTATTCAAAACTAATTTTTGAAAGATTTGTCTATATTTATTTTTTATATTATAAAAATAGAAATAAGTTGCATTTTATACTAAAAATGTGGTATTTTTTGCAATATTTAAAAGAAAAGTATTTCTCTCAGATTGAAATTGATGAAAATTAAAATATTAAAAAATAAAAAATTATATTTTCTTTAGTTCTTTAGTTTTATAAGGTTCTTTGGTTTTATAAGATATATTTGTTATGCAAAATTTTTTATCCGTCCAAATTTAAACAAATTTAATTTTTCTCTTAGCTTTTAATTAATTTAAGTCATTGTTTTCAAAAAAAAATTTTGTTTAAAAATTGTCGATTAATTAAAATTTTTTTATGATTTTTTGAGAATTATTGTCTTTTTGATTATGGTAAATTTATTAACTAAATTAAAAATGAATTAACAATACTAAAAATGAACTAAATTAAAAATTAGTTAATCAATTGAATGATTTGATTAATTAACAATTAATTAAAATTAAATTTTAGAAAATTAACTTTTAAGTTAAATTTTAAAAAGTTGTAATTAATATAAAATTTTTTTAACAAATACTTACCCCTGAATGCCTGTAGAAATTTCCGATATTTTTTCTGATAAAGTGAATTAATTAGTGTCTGCCTAGATTTTTCGTAATCCACTCTCAATTAGCATCGTTTCAATTTGAAATTTTAAATTATCCGATGTCTGAGGCTGATAAACCCAACTCGTAAAGTAAACCATTTTTTCCGCATCTCCATTTACATGGGCAATATTTTCGAGAATAATTCGTTTCGTTTTTGCCTCTTCCTTGTACGACGTGTATAAATTCTCCACTGTATTTGCTGATAAATAAAAATTAAAATCAACATTTTAAATAAACGTTTTTTAAAATTATTTTATATGAACATTTTAAAAAATTTAATAAAAATAAAAAACTTATTTATTTTTTGAAATTTATATTTTTAAAATTATTTTAAAAAATATGTTTCGAATTACACGTGAGTGAAATTTTCTCAACTTTTATGATCAAGGATTAGAATAGTGAAAAATATTTTTTTAAATAAAAAAAAAACTATTTTTTTTTATTACAAATTCTTCTTTTTTAAGTTGTTGATGAAAAAACATTGTGGAAACATTTAAAGACAAAAATTTTAATGGAGAAATATTTTTTCCTTCTAAATTGTTGATTAAAAACGTAAACTTGATCAACGTGGAATTATTTTTTTTAATTTAAAAATTAAATGTAATTTAATTTAATTTTACAAATTATTATTTTAAATAAACTTTTTAGAAATTATTTATATTGAAAGTTATTTTAAATAAATATATTGAAAGTTATTTTAAATAAACTTTTTAGAAATTATTTTAAATAAATTATATTGAAAGTTATTTTAAATAAATATTTACCAAATTTTTCTACAGGCCATGTGGAAAATAAAATTGTCCCACTCGTGTTCAATGACTGCAATTTTTTCAATTTTTGATAAGAATTTTGTAAATTACAAACAATTGCATCCTGAAAAAATAACAATTTATAAAAATATATATTTTTCTTTTGGTAAAAACTAAAAATAATAATAATTATGAGTAATATTTTCTTACTATTTCATCGCAAATTTTTTCCAGCGATGAGCATAAATTAATTAATTCATCGGGATATGATTCATCGGTTTTTAAATCGATTACAGATTGTACAATTGGAATTCCTTTTAAATGAATAGTATTCCATTTTTGAATATTTGTATGCACTTCTATCACTGAATCTCTTACAATTAGTGGAATTCCCGTTAACGCTTTTCCTTTTGTCACCGGAGAACTCGAAACTGTTAATTATAATTCAATTACATCCGAAATATAAAAAATATTCAAAAAATTATTTTTATACTTATTTATGCGATACGTTATTTGTAGTTATAAAATAAAAGTAATTTTTGATTTCAGTAAGGAAAATAAAAAAGAATTGTTTTTAAAAATCAAGAAAGTTTTGAACCAATTTTATATACAAATCATACAAATTTCTACAACATACTTTTGAGGTTATGTTCTACTATAAAAAACTTTTAATTTCAAATTCAAAATAAAATATAAAAATTAAATACAGTGGTATTTTAACTAACACAAAAATCCAATCCTTATTGCTTGATAAAATAATTCCGAATGTAATTATCGAATAATAAACTAAATAAGTTAAAAAAAACACAAAACTTTTGGTATTGTCACTTTTTGACAATATCTTTTAAACATGAAAAATATGAAAAATAAGTTTATGAAAATGGGAAATTAAAAAAAATACTTACTGGTAACTGGAGTAAATTGTTTTAAATTCTTTTCCATGTTTAATGAAATTATTTTCAGTTTAAATTGTTTTTCAATTGAATTTGGAACACTTCTAAAACTACTTCAGGGGCGTAATAAAAAATAAAGGCGCCCTGTTCAATGGCGATGAACGTAGAAATGATTTCACCTGACACCTGACAATTTTTTGTTCAACTTTATTCAATTTTCTACATTACCGACACAAATACAAATTCCGATTATCAATTTAGGAAAATTACTTTCCCGTAAAGGAATTTTTTCATAAATTGACCATCTACCGTCCTTTTAAAATCTTTTTACTTTTTACGCTTTTTACGAAATATATTCTAAAAAATTATAATGATCATAACCTATAAATTTGCTATAAAATGTATAAAATCGATAAAATCACAACGATCACAACAAATAATTGCAAGAATTTGTTGTATTTCGTGATTATCGCAACTTTAGAAAACAAGAATATATATTATATTGCCCTTAAAGTTAAAAAATATTCTAAACTAAAGAAATTAAAAAAAAACTTACCATTTTTTAGGTGTGAAAATTGCAGAAAATAAATACCAATGATATGATACCAAATGTACCAAATTCGCAAAATTTTCTCCACAGGAAGTGAAAGAGTTTGTCTGCTATTTTGATTGGTTGAATGTATTTTTGGCGGGAAACTAAAATCCCCAGTGTTGCCATCTGTCGTCAGTTGTACCAAAACTCACTAGGAAAATCAAAAGATCAATATACTTCTCTGCATTACCGACTACAACTCGCACTCTCATTGGTCATCTGAAAAGAGAGGGAAATTCCGTTTAAATTTAAAAACTATTCACCAAATTTTGTCTACAAAAATAAAAAATTACTCAGTAAAATGTAATTGAAAAGAAAGAAATAATAATCATTTATAAATAACTAATAATTAATTAACAATATTTTTATTATATCAAATAGAATCAGTTTCTTGCTGCAGACAAGCGAAAATCAATAATAACTATTTATTTATTTATTAATAATAAAATATTTAACGTTCGAGTAGTTTAATAATAAGAAAAATAAAAACGAAGACCATATGTTTTCGTTTTTATTTTCCCAACTATTTATTACATTCCTGATGTAGAATAAGTCAATAAATAAATATTAATTATAAATAATATTTAAAGGATAACTGACAAAATAAATTAAAAAAATAAATGTTTAATAAATTGTTAACATTATTTATAATTATTATTTCCTGAATTATTTATAATAATTATAAACTGTCATTGTAAAGTAATTATAATAATTATTATTACAAAATAATTATAATTATTTATAATTAATTAAATTATCAATTATTATTATAAAATAATTATAATTTTTATTATTACAAAATAATTATAATTGTTATGGTTACAGAATAATTATAATTATTATTATAATAATTATAATTAATTATCAATTAATAATTTTTATTCTGTATAATAATTATAATTACTTTTTTGAATTCTATATAATAATTACATATAATTTATAATTATCGAAATATTTTGTAAATCGAAAGAGAATTGACCGCAATTATCAATTTGACCTCAAATTAATAATAACAACGTAATAAGAAAAATTGCGTATATTATTTTTTTTTATCTTAGGTATCAACAAATTTTAATATTAGTTTCCGCGTTCGAGAAAAAAATAGCGGAATCAAATAATGACATTAAAGTCATGTAATATTATAATAATGTTAAGGAGAATTAAAAATTGACCTTATATAATAAGCACTTTTTTTGTACACAATGAGGCTTGGACTCAGTCGTGAAAATGTTCATTGTAACATGATAAATTGAAATTTTCCATCATCTCATTTGCATTAAACTATAAGTCAGTTTGTAACGAGCGCAACTCCTTGTGTTATGAGTGCACTGGGGAATGTATTCTTGGCTGTGCAGGAGAAGTTAGCGATCTATTTACTCTCAGTGCCTGTTCACGTCGACATTCCTCCTCCTGTTTTTGCAACTGTTCCTTGAAAACTAAAAGTTCCCTCGTTCGTTGATAAACAGGATCCTGAAAATAATTCATTTCTTCAAAAATCATCGAAAGAAAATTTTTTTTTAATTTGTAAATAATTCAAACTTATTTTGTCATATATTGCATGAGAATTAAAATTTCTATAAAATTATTATAGAAAAAAAAATAGAATTAAGTAGAAAGAAATAAAGTCAAAAAATAAAATTTAATGGAATTAAATGAAATAGAAAAATAAAATTAAATGGAATTAAATAAAATTAAAAAATAAAATTAAAAATAATTAAATGACAGAGTTCGCACTCGATATTGATTTTAAAAAAGTAGCTTTCAATCTAAAAAAAAGTAGTAAAAAAAAGTAGCTATCGAAAAATTAAACTTGACGACCAAAAAACTCGTTTTATTAATCATCAATGAATTTAAATATTTATAAAAATAATTTAATTCTTGCGAAGAATTTTATAAAAATTTTTAAATCATTCTTTTCTTCGACTAATTTTATGCAAATTCTAATTTACCTAATTAATTAAATTTTTAAGAAATTTCTATCATTCATGAAAAGAATTGAATTCTTACGAAGATTTTTACAAAAAAAAAATGTTAAATAATTGAATTCTGTTTGGAAATTTTATGAAAATAGTAGATATTGAAAATCATTGAAATGCGAAAAGTTTTTAAAAATAATTAAATTTTACAAAGAATTCAATTGAAATTTTTGCCAATAATTGAATGTCTGTGTGATATTTTATTAAAATTTTTGGAAAATAATTGAATTCCAAAAAACCATTTTATTATTTATTAAAATAATTGAATTCTTGCGAAAAATTTTATTAGAAATTTTTAAAATAATTTAATTTCCAAGAAAAAATCTATTACTTTTAAAAATTATAAATAAATTAATTCTTGAGATGAATATTGTTATTTATGAAAATAATTGAATTTTGAAAAGAATTTTATTAAAATGCCTGAAAATAATTGAATTTTCGGGAATAATTATTTGTTATTTATCAACATAATTGAATTTCGTCGAAGAATTATTTATGTAAATAATTGAATGTTAGGGAAGAATTTTATTAAAATCTAAAAGAATAATTGAATTATTTCAAAAAAATTTAATTAAAATTGCATTTAAAATAATTGATTTCTTTCGAACAATTTTATTAAAATATTTGAAAAATAATTGAATTCCTGTGAAAAATTGTAATATTTTTGTAAATAATTGAATTCTTCCAAAGAATTTAAAATAAACATTTTTTTTAAATAATTGATTTTCTCGAGGAATTGAACTTAAAATTTTTTTAAAATAATTGCATTTTTTAAACAATTCCTGTAAAATTGTATTAAAAATAATTGAAATCCTGCGTTGAATTTTATTATTTATGAAAATAATTGAATAGTTGCTAAGAATTTTATTAAAAATTTTAAAAATAATTGAATACCTAAGAAAAATTTTATTATTTATGTAAATAATTAATTTTTTCGAAATGTAATAAATATTATGAACATTTTATTTTAAATAATTGAATTCTTGTGGAAAACTTTATTTGTGAAAATAATTAAATTTTTCGATTAATTAATTTAAAATAGTAATAAAAATAATTGAAATTCTTTAATGAGTTTTATTGTTTATGAAAATAATTGAATTCTTGCTTAGAATATTATCAAAATTTTTTTTTTAAAATTGAATTTCTATGAAAAATGTTATTATTAGTGAAAGTAATTGAATTATTCTGAAGAATTGTATAAAAATTTCATTAAGTAATTGATTTTTTTTGAAAATGCTATTTTAAGAATTGAATTCCTGTGGAAATTTGATAAAAATAATTGAATTTTGTATGAATTCTATCAATTTTTTTAAAAATTGAATTCTTTTGCGAAATTTTATGAAAATTCTAGATATTGAAAATAATTGAATTTCGAATATTTTTTGAAAATAATTGAATCGTTTTAAAGAATTACAATATAATTTTTGAGAATACTTTTTTGATTTCTAGTATTAGCGAATTTAAGGTAGTGGAAATTCTAAAAAAAACAGAAACAATTAAATAAAATAGAAAATGAAAATTGAATGAAGTTAAATAAAATCAAAAAATGAAATTCGATAGAATTAAATAAAACAGAAAAATAAAGAATAAAACAAAATTAATAAAAAATGAATATATTTTTATATATTTCATAAAGAAATTTATAAAAAATATATTTAAAAATTCTAGTAAAAATATGTATAAAAAATGTATATAAAATCAAAAGAATGAACCAAAGTTTCTCTATGTTTTTTTTTTGAGACGTTTAATTTTTTGCTTGGAAGTCAGAATTTAAATATTGAAATTCTTTAATTAAATTAATTTTATTACGAACCTGCTGTCGCATGCTGGGATTCCACCTGCAATAGAGACTCTTCCAAAGTTTAATGTAACGCATACTGGCAACTGGCATTAATATCAATTGACAATGAGGTCCAGCCCAATAAAGTGGATTTTGATACTGTGATATTTGACTATTAATATAAGACCATAAAGACACGGTTTTTTCCTTCACTTTTTCGTGAACTCGCTCCCTTTCACTGTAATAAAAAACAAAATAGATTTTTTCTTTCCCTTTGTTTTTAAATAATATTAATTTCACAGGAATTTGAAGATAAAATTAATGTCTAACGTAAAATTTATACTTAAGCAAATTTAAACAAATCAGTAATATTTTTAATTAAAATTCATTTGTAAACTTAAAAACAATACTTTAAATCAAAATTAATTTCAAACTGTAATGTAATATTTAGAATTCAAATTAATTTTAAAATCAAAAGCAATATTAAAAATAATATTTATGATAATATAAATAATAATGTATAATTATATTAAATAATATTTTGAATTAAAATTAGTTTCAAATAGAAAAGTAATTTTTAAAATTCAAATTGAATTTAAACTCAAAAGAAATATTTTTAAAAAAAAAATTTTCTTTGTGTCATTAAAAAAGAAGACAAAAGATATAATTTTCCATTTTAAAAAATAGAAAAATAGAAGGGTGAACGACAAAAAGAAATTCTAAAGTACCTGTTAAATAAAAACGTGCCAAATCGACAAGAATATAGATGATCGAGAATTGTTATAAGAAAATGTTCGTTGAATTGAAATGCATTCGGAAATTCTTGTGTTATTTGCCAGACACAATCGATAAATTGCAAAAACACTGGCGATCGATCTGCGTCACTGTGATGCTCATCACCGTGTCCAATTCTCTGTATCAGAAATGATAAGAATTATAACGTAAATAATATAAATGTATAAAATTTTTAGTTAGTTAATAATTATTTAAAAATCTTACGTGTTGAAATTTATGACCAAAACTGAGCCATTCTTTTTCAATCAGTACTTCGAAGCCTTTAATTGTTCGATAATATGGATCGAGCATCAACATTGCCAAAGCCGTCAACTGCAAAAACAATTATTTAGTTCTTTAATAATAACTTTTTTGTTTACTAACTTTTTAAAATAATTTTTCTTCTTCAATATTTTCAATTTTAAAATTCAGATATTGAGAATCATTGAATTCTTGCAAAGAATTTTATCAAAAAATTAAATAATAGAATTTCTTCGAAGAATTTTATTATTTAGGAAAATAATTGAATTCTCGCGATGAATTTTATTAAAATTTTTTAAAATTCTTATTAAATTCTTTTCGTTGAATTTCTTTGAGAATATTTTTTAACATAATGGAGTTTCTTTAATAATTTTCATTAAAAATTTTGAAAGTAATTGAATTTTATGAACAATTTCTTTCAAGTTTTTAAAATAATTATTGTTTTTCTAAATAATTTAAATTAAACATTTAATTATATTTAATTTTATTGAAATTTTTAGAAAATAATTAATTGAATTCTTTTAAGAAATTTCTTCAAGTTTTTTTTTGTAAATAATGTAGTTTTTTGAATAATTTTAATTAAAAATTTTGAAAATAATTACATTAAGCAGAAAATTTTTTTCAACTTTTTAAAATATTTGATTTTTTAAATTTATTAAAAGTGTATTGAAAATAATTGAATTCCTGATAAGAATTTTATTATTTACAATAAATAATTTAATTCTTGTAATGAATTTTACTACTTTAAAAAATAATAAAATTGTTTCGAAGGATTTATTAAAATTTCAGAAAATAATTGAAGTTTTTCGAAAAATATTATTAGAATTAAAAAAAAACAAAATTCTTTCATGAAATTTGATCAAAATTGTATTAAAAATAATTCAATTGTTTCGAAGGATTTATTAAAATTTTAGAAAATAATTGAATTCATTTGAAGAATTTTATAACGAATTAAGAAAAAAATTAATATCTTTCGTGAAATTTTATTGAAAATTGATTTTTTGCAAAGATTTTACTATTTATAAAAATAATTGATTTCTTCTGAAGAATATTATTATTTATGAAAATAATTGAATTCTAACGAAGAATTATATTAAAGTTTTTAAAATTATAAACACTAATAATTAATTGATTTTTATCAATAATTGAAAACTAATTTTGACATTTGAATTGATTATAAATTCAATTTTGATTATAATTTATTGACGTTAAATTGAAATTTCGATAATTTTAGATTTCTTGGATTAAAATCGCGTTTTTTTAAAATTAAAATGAGTAGAATCATAGATAAAATTTGAAATTTGTATGAATTAATTGAAAAATCGATAAAAATTTAAATTAATAAATAATAAATTTGTTTTGATCGGTAAAATCACAGAATTATGGATTTCCACCTTTTTCTATCTGTAAATAGATTTTATATCTATTTTTTTTATGAATAGATAGTTTTAAATATTCTTGAACATTTTATCTTTTTTAAATTGTAAATTAAATTATTTTAAAAATATTTTACATCCGAAATTTAATAAAAATACTGAAAAAGGTAAGAAAAAAGTAAAAAATTATTAAAGTGGGTGAAATTGGAGACAGAAAAGTGAATAGGTAATAAAATTTGATCAGTGAAATTCGATTAATCTACAAAATGAAAAGAAGAAAATGATCAGATATTAACAAAAAAATTGAGAAAATCACCTGAAGAGATCTGTCCCAACCGTCAGAACAATGAACCATCACTGAAGTTTTGTGATTCTCAACTTTCTCGACTATACGAACAGCTCCAGCAAGAATGTACTTTATGTGCTTCAACCAAACAGTTGATTCAATTCCAGATAACCATCTAGCCTCGTCAATATTTGGGAAACATAATTCTAAAAAGCAAAATTTTTAATTAAGTTAAAAATAAAAAAAAGTAAAGTAAAAAGAAATTAATTTTTGAAATTAATTTCTTCGTACATTAATTTTCTTTACAAAAAATGAAATTCTCCCACATATCGTTAATTAATTAAAATTTCGTTAATTTGCAAAGAAAAACACCTAATAAAAAATAAAGTAAAACATAATAGTAACAACAAAAGTAAACAATAATTAATAAAATAATTAATAAATAAATAAATAAAAAAATTCTATTTAGAAGTAAAAAATAAACCTTTCAATTTTCGTAGACTCTCTCTCATTACGTGAATATTATGAATATCCAAAAAGACAAGCTCGGCATTTTGATAAGCGTCCTCACTCTCATAACCGCCGCCTCTCGCCTTATTCGCAATTGCATTCGGCATTGGCCTCGCGTCCATAATAAATAACTTATGACTCTGAGCATTCGCGTCCATTATCAATTGAATGTATCGTTCATCTTCGCGACTTCGTTTACCACCAACTCCAACCAGTGGCTGTGCACAACGCGTCAATGTCGCTTGACTCTCGGGATGAATCCACGCGAGAACCGGTAAACGACCGCGACTTCGGAAAGCCGCCGACGCCTGTAAATCTTCATCAGTCGCTGCTACCGGCACCGCCAACACTGCCGGATAACTATCACAAAGCGTAAAATTGTCATTGATTTTCGATATTTTCCACATGTCGTTATTCACTCCCTGAAATAAAAAAAAGAAAAGAATTCATTTAATTACTTTTTCGAAAAGAATACATTTAATTTACAATAATATTTGTTTTAATTTACTAGAAACAACAATAAAAATAATAATAATAACTAAAATAATATTTTGGTTGTGACTCTTTCAAAATTAAATTAGTTAACAAATTAAAATAGAAATTAAATAAAAAGAAGAGAAGAAGAGAAATACCGCAAAAATTTGATTCTATTTTTGACGGACTTTTCCTTGATTTCCATCAAAAATTTTGATTTCCCTGAATAATTTTCAAAAATTTCAATCTAAAATTACTTAAAAATTCAAATATTTTTAACAGAGTTTTAGAAAATTTCAATTTCAATTTCTTTAAACATTTTCAATTCCTCGAAATACTATTTCATACAAAATTAATTATTTTCAATAGAATTTTAGAGAAATTTCAATTACATTCAGCTACTATTTTATATAAAAATCCAATTTTCTTTAAATATTTTAAAAATAATTTTAGGAAATTTCAATAACTTGTTAAAGATTTTCAATTATTTTAACTTCAATTTAATAAAAATTCAATTATTTTTGATAGAATTTAAGAAAATTTCAATTACTTGAAATACTATTCAATAAAAATTCTATTTACTTAACAAATTTTTAAAAGAATTTTAGGAAGTTTCAATTACTTGTAAAAAAAATTTCAATTATTTAAACTACTACTTTTTGATAAAAATTCAATGTTTTAAAAATATTTTTAAAAGAATCTTTGGAAATTTCAATTACTTGTTAAAAATTTTTTAATTAATTGAAACCACTGTTTGATAAAAATTCAATTATTTTTAATAGAATTTAAGGAAATTTCAATTACTTGAAATACTATTTAATAAAAATTCTATTTACTTAACAAATTTTTAAAAGAATTTTAGGAAGTTTCAATTACTTGTAAAAAAAATTTCAATTATTTGAACTACTATTTGATAAAAATTCAATTATTTTTAATGGAATTTTAGAATATTTCAATTATTTTAAAAAATTTTAATTACTTGAACTACTTTTTTTTATAAAAATTCAATGTTTTAAAAATATTTTTTAAAAAATCTTCGGAAATTTCAATTACTTGTTAAAAATTTTCAATTATTTGAACTACTGTTTGATAAAAATTCAATTATTTTAAATAGAATTTAAGGAAATATTAATTACTTGAAATACTATATTTTATAAAAATTAAATTATTATTTTAAAAGAATTTAAGAAAAATTCATTTACTTCAACTAGTATTTTATAAAAATTCAAGTTTTAAAAAATATTTTTAAGAGTTTTAGAAAATTTCAATTACTTTTTAAAAATTTTAATTTTTTTAACTATTTGATAAAAATTTAATTATTTTTAATGGAATATAAGAAAATTTCAATTACTTTAATTACTATTTTAAAAAAATTCAATTTAATTAAAAATATTTTCATAGAATTTTAGGAAGTTTTAATTATTTGTAAAAAATTGTCAATTATTCGAACTACTATTTGGTAAAAATTCAATTATTTTTAATAGAATTTTAGAAAATTTCAATTATTTTAAAAATTTTCAATTTTTTCAATTCGATGAATAAGAATTTTTCTTAAATTCCTTTAAAAATAATTGAATTTTTATAAAATAGTATTTCAAGCAATTGAAATTTTCTCAAATTTCTATTTAAAATAATTGAATTTTTATCAAACAGTAGTTCAAATAATTGAAAATTTTTAACAAGTAATTGAAATTTCCAAAGATTATTTTTAAAATATTTTTAAAAAATTGAATTTTTATAAAATAGTAGTTCAAGTAATTGGAAATTTTTAAAATAATTGAAATCTCCTTATATTCGATTAAAAATAATTTAATTTTTATCAAAAAATTTTTGAAGTAATTGAAATTTTTTTGCAAGTAATCGAAACTTTCTAAAATTCTTTTAAAAATTTGTTTTCAATTACCTACGTGAACTTTATAAAAATTCCTTTTTTTAAAAAATATTTTTGAAAGAATCTCAGTAAATTCCAATTACTTATGTTAAAAGTTTTCAATTATTTGAACTACTATTTCATAAAATTTCAATTTTATTTTAAATAGAATTTAAGGAAATTTCAATTACTTAAAAAATTTTCAATTATACTTGAAGTACTATTTTATAAAAAGTCAATTATTTTTAATCTTTATCTTTAAAAATTTGATTATTTTTAAGTAACGGTAAAAATTTTTCTAAGAAATTTAATTATTTTCAATTCAATTTCACAAAATTTTAATTAAATTGAAATTTTTTTAATAAATTTCTTTTAATAATCTATTTTCTTTAACAAATTAGAACTGAGAAATTTATATTTTTGTTTTTCTAATTTTAAATTAAATACTTTAAAATTGAAAAAAAGAATTTATTTCCTTGAAACTTATCTTTATTTAAATATTATTATAGTTCCTTTACAGTAATTAAAATTTTCAAAACTTTAGGTTTAAAACCTTCTAAAAATTAAATTCTGAAAATTGCAACTATTTTTAACTAAAAACTAATTGAGTTAATTAATAATTCATTTTAAAATTTAGTTAATTATAATTGATAACTTCAAAAAAGTTATTCTAGAATTTAATTATTTATAGTAAATTTAATTATTTTCAAAAATAGGAAATAATCAATTCATTCCGATTTAAAATTTATTAAATTGAAAAAAATTTCAAGGTTTTTAAATTTTTGAAAACAATTTTTTTAATTTCGAAAACCAGAATTTTTTTCAGTAATTTAGAATTTTTTTTATTTTTTTTAGTATTTTTAATAAAAAAATTCCTGTCATTTCACTTATTTCTCTGATTTGTGACAACCCTGAATAAAAATAAAACAAGAAAACAAAAGTAGAAATAAAAATAATCAACAAAAGTAAAAAGAAGACTGAAGCTGAATAAATAAAGTTGAAGAAATAAATAAAAATAAAACTAGAAACAATGCGAATAAAAAATAAGTAAAATAAAAAGAATAAGAATTGATAAATAAAAAAAAGGGAAAGTAGAAATAAAAATCAAAGATGGATTAAAATCGATATATGAAAAAAAAGTGTTGAAATAAAAATAAAATTTTCCAAAATACCATTCGTTTCAATTCAGCAATTGGTTCATAAACGCTCCATCCATTTTCAGGAAATGTTTCCGAATATTCAAAAGCAAAGAGTGGCATTTTCTTTGAAACAGGAAACGAATATTGTTGAAGTTTCTCAAAAACATTACGCCGCGAATGATTCTCTTGTTTATGGGCGAACCTCAAATTACGCATGTCCTTGCAAAAAATTTCAATTCCATAGGAATTCTCGCCACGACTCGATGCACCGCCGACTTTTTCAATTCGACTCACAACACCCAATGGCATTTCAATAATATAAGGCGGTTCACGATCTGTACTGCGAAAATAAAGTCTGTAATTCGTGACACTGAGACAACCTCGCGCTGGTCCTGAATAAGGACAGATGTACGTCACTTCACGAGCACCACCTCGCATTCTTTCGCCATTTAATAGCGGTGGTCCTGCCTCTCCGGTCGTCAAATTCTAGTGGAAAAGGAAAAAAAACAATTTTCAATTAGTAACAATTCTATAAAATTTAATTCTAATTCAACTAAAACAATTGTAGAACAATGATATTGTAATTAAAACTATTGCAATTAGAAATATTGTTACTCAAAAAAATTTTGTAATTAAAATATTATAGATAAAAATATTGCAATCAAAAGAATATTTTAAAAATCAAATGTATTGCAATTGGAAATATTGTAATTAAAAATATTGCAATCAGAAGAATATTTTAAGAATCAAAAATATTATAATTGAAAATATTGTAGTTAGAATTATTGAATCAAAAGAAAGTTTAAAAAACAGGCCTCGGATATTAGGACTTTTTCGACTTTTTTCGACAATTTTTAAAAAATACGCCTTTTCGACTTATTTTCAAAAATTACAACTTTTCGACTTTTCGTCCAAATATTGCAATAATTTTTCTTATAAAATGCAACTTATTTCGATTTTTATATAGTGTGAAAAATAACTATAAACAAATCTTCAAAAATTATTTTTTAATAATTTTTCTAATTAAATTTTCAAAATTTACAATAAAAAAGAGTTTTAATAATTGAAATTTTGTAAAATTTAATTGAAAATAATTAATTTTTTTTCAAAGTGTTTTATAAAAATTTTTGAAAATCAACTTTTGAAGAATTTTAATTGCAAATTTTGAAAATAATTGATTTCCCAAAAATTTAAATGAAAAATCTTCAAGTGTAAATTTAAAAAAGGTAATTAATGCAAATTAGCTTCTAAAAAATATATTAAAATAATTTTGAAAAAAAAAATTCTTAGAATTTGTGCATTTTAATTTTTTAAAATTCAATTATTTTCAATATTTTCAAATATAAATTTCCAAAAATTAAAATATTTAAAAATTCACTTTTTCAGATTTATTAAAATTTTGGAAAAATCACGTTTATATTAATAATTAAAATTCTTCAAAAATTCAAATATTTTTTTAATTGAATTTACCAAATTTCAATTGTTTGGAAATTTTTCAATTGTATATAATAGAAAAACTATTATCTTTCATAAATTATTTTAAAAATATTTTGAAAAAATTAATTTTAAGAATTCCTTTATTATAATTTTTGAAAAATTAATTAATAACTTAAAAAACATGGACAGTTACAATTATTATAAAAAATTGAATTTTTGCATTTAAATAATTCGAGGCCTGGAAGAATCAAACGTATTGTAATTAAAAATATTGCAATCAAAAGAATATTTTAAGAATTAAAAATATTGTAATTAAAACTATTGCATTCAAAAGAATATTCTAAGAATCAAAAATATTAAAATTAAAAATATTGCATTCAAAAGAATTTTTTAAGAATAAAAAATGTTGTAATTAAACAGATTGCTATCAAAAAATATTTTAAGAGTTAAAAATATTGCAATCAGATGAATATTTCAAAAATCAAAATTATTCTTTGGAATTTGGATTTTTAATAGAATGAAATAAATTTTTGATAGAAATGTAATATTTAAAATTCGAAAAGACTTTGAAAACAGAAAAAACTAAAGAAAAAAATAAATAAAATAGTTCTTTCTAATTTTCTTTACCAGCTCAACTACTTCTTGACTCTCTTTTTTTGTTTCTAAAGCTGAAACAATATTATTATCGGTTGAAGTTGAGCTTGTGGAAAAGCTTTTAGAGTGAGATGCCTTTTCCCAACACTCCTAATGTTTGCATGTAAATTGTAAGACGTAGAATATTAATTTCCAAGAAGTTTTTATTAGTAATTTATAAAATTAATAATAAATAAAATAAAAATCATACCGATTCTTGGCCCATTTTTGAATTAAGAGAACTACTTTTGCTGTCTGTATTGAGAGAATCTGAACTTGCATTTTTCGAATTATTTTGATCCACATTCAATAATTCAACACTCGATTTTTTCTCCATTGCTGTCGTTTAAATAACAACAATTGTCAGTTGTTTTAAAATATCATTGTTTCCTTTATCTGAAAGCAAGAAACAAGAATAAAGTAACAAAAAAACACGATATCAACAATAGCAATAAAAAAATAACAATAAAAATAAAAATAATAGTAACAATAATAATAAATAAAAGGCCAAACAAAAAAAAACAAAAACATCTTTTATTTAAATAATAATAATAGTAATAAAAATAATAATAATAATAATAATAGTAATAATAATAATATAATAATAATTGATAGTAATTAATAGAAATAATGATAAAACTAATGAGAATAATAAAAAATAATAATGAGTGTAAACAAAAAACTATGTAGTTTTCTCTCTATCTTGCAATTAGTGCAAAAAGAATAGAAAAACTTCTGATAAATCACCCTCTGCTTGGAATTTTGTTTTTAATCCATGTAAATAATTGTATAAAAATAAAAATTACACTATTTATCTTGTTTCTGGGTGTGGATTGCGGAGAAAATTATTGTCAACATAACCTCAAAAAACGAAATGTCAAACTCGCACTTACGTGCTTTGTAATAGAAAATAAATACAAATTTAGAAACAAAAGCTCTGTTTGAAATATATTGTCAACAAAGAATAATTTAAAAGGCAACAATGTTAAATAGATTAATTTTAATATTTTCAACTTGTCAATTAACGGTGTCTCACTAGAAAAAGCCACGCCCAGAATATAATGTACACTTCAATATAATTAGCGCACAAATAATTAAAAAATTATTTTTTCCATATAAAACAATTTATTTACTTACCAAATTTAATGACAGGTATTTAATTGTCCTTTTTTTATAATGAAAACATGTTTGTTACTTACATGTCAGCAGTGACAGAAGTAATTCCAAAGTAAATTTTTCAAACAGCGCAAGCGTCATTATATCGATGCTCATTGGCTACTTACTTCCGCGGGAATTTGAACTAATTTGAAATCGTAATATTTGTTATAATGCAAAAAACGAATATTTATAACAATATAACAAGAAAATGTTGAAATTATTATTAAAAATTAAAAATTATTATTAAAAAAAACTCCATAAATTTGATAAAATGTAATTATAAATGTAAATATTTGTATTTGAGTATAGAAAAAAATATTTGAAATGATTAGAAAATTCAAATTCTCCCGGCAGTTAAGAACCAATCGACGTATTATTGCTACGCTTGCGCAGTGATAAAAAACAGACTTTTGGAATACGCATTACGTCATATTTTCGATATTCTATCGTAAAAAATTTATCGATGTTCTCGGAATCGATCAATACCGTTAAGTTTGTTTATTTTGTTGTTTTTGTTCACAAAATGAAGAGATGCTACAAAATTGTTGTATTTTCTACAATTTATTAGTTTACTACGTTTACTACTTCCTTTCGAAACACTTATTTACTAATATTTTTGTACTTTAATAGGTAAAAACGTAAATACTGTCCAAACTGTCACATTTCTATTTTGAGGTTATGTTTAAAACCTGACGATTGTCAAGTGTCAATTGTTTACCTTTTCCATCAATTTTTTTGTTTCGAATTTTTTACTAATTTTTCGTATAAAATCCTACATGGATTAAAAAATCATAAACAAATTTGCCTGTTGATGAAAATTAAATTAAATTGCATTTTAAATTATTAAGACTGAAGGTGAAAAAAAAATTATTTATAAGTTTACAAAATAAATACAAAAAAATTATCTTTTTAGTTGTCATTTTAGAAATTAAAAAAGAGTAAAAAAAAAATTAATTAAAAAAAATTAAATTAAGAAAGAAATTAATTTTCTTTAAAAAAAAAATAACCAAAGGATAATAAAAAAATGTCAACTGGGCTTTTCAACTTTCGAAAAAATGCAGATTTCTAATTAACCGGTGAGTAATAATGAAAATTTATTAAAAATAATTATTATTAAAATTTATTATTAAAAAATACTAAAATTATTATTAAAATACGTTAGAAGTTGATAAAATTATTTCTCGACACAATTTGCAAAAATCAATAAAGTTAGACTAAATTTATTCGAAATAAATTGAAATAGAAAAAAAATTAAAGTAAAAATTGAAAATAGAGAAGTAATTGAAATATTTTCAAAATTACATTGCAAACTGACATAGTTTCCGTATTTTTTTTTCTTTCCTTTTTTTTGACAAGAAGAATAAGTATTGGTGTTTTGTTTCGTGTGAAAAATAAATTTAAATTCGTTTTTCCATCATTTACCCCAAAGTTAACCCTTTGGAAATTCAACACAACTACACGTGCAACACACTATGGGGGGAATATTGCCCCGCCCCACTAAGCGAAAACTTAAAAATGCCGCCACGGCGCAACCGGAATCGATATTTACCGACCAGGTCACGTGGTGTATATTCGAAGAATTTCCACCAATCGAGAAACATTTCCATGGTGTTTTGCCCCGCCTGCAATACCCGAGTGTACCCGATGCATTGACTATCTTGGAATCTACACTTGCACTCGAGGAACCGAGCAAGTGACGAACCGATCCAGTAACGAAGAGAGGAAAAACCAGTGTCGTACTTATCCCCCAAATCGCCCTGTTCGATATATTATTTATTTAATTACTTTTTTTTAACTGATTTTTACCGATTTTTCCATTTACTATAAAATACTAAAATTTATATTTTGTTTTTATTTCATTTTTTTTTCATTTCGAGTCTTATTAACATTTTTTATTTTCTTGCAAAATCCTTTTAGTTCAAAATTTGATTTTATTTTGCAAATTTAAATAAAAAATTTTCGTTTGCAAATTTTAATTTTACCGCGCATGCGTATGACTGGTGGTTGGATAACTTCCGGTTTTGAAGATCGATGTCCTTCTTGTCGGATAACATCCGTTCCAAGATGGCCGCCTGTCAGTTTTTATTAACATTATCCCCTGAGAGTATTTTGCCTTTGTTTTAATTAAAAAAAATAAAAATAAGTTAATTAGATGGGAAATTTAATTCAATCGAGAACAATACGATCGAAAGTGGAAATTTAATTATCATTATTCATCGAATATTTTAATTAACACTGTTGTTAAAATCGAAGGAGAGAAAATTGTTTATTGCAATCTAACCTAAAAAACAACTTTTATGACTTTTACTCTTTTTGCACTTTTTTTCGTATTTCATATTTAAAAATTAATACGTAAAATACTTAACAATATAACTAAACATATTTAGTGGTAAAGATTAATTTTCAAATTAATTTTCTAGATTTGTTCGAATAAACAATTTTTTTCTTAAATATTTTCAAAAATTTCTCAAAGAAGAAAAACAATTAAAATTAAGCATTTAGTTTAAACATTTATAGTTTAAGAACTAATTGTATTTATAAATATTCATAGAATATACTAAGAATAATTTTTTTCTGCTCAAAAAATTAGAAAAATATCGTCGTTTATTTTAACGTTCGAAACTTTAGGAACTGATATAATTTAGATTAATAACAATATTTTTTAACTCTGAAAATTTCTTTTCGAAATTACAAGAATTTCATTTTTTTAATTAGAAAAAATTAAAAAATTCTTTAAATTAGAAAATTCAACCAATTGTTATTTAATAAACTGATATTTATAATTATAATTCTTAATTAAATGTATATAATTTTTTTTATTTTCAGAGAAAAAGAGAGAGAGAGGGAGGAATAATTTCTAAAAACAAAATTCAGTTTCTTTTTCGAAGAGGAGTAAATTTACCAAAAAAAAATTCCAAAATTGAATAAAATATAAATAAAATGAGAGTTTATAAAATCGGAAAATAAAATACTTCTAAGCGGAAACAATAATAACAGAAAGGACAAATTTGGACATAATTTGAGGACTGATTTGAAAAAAATTGGGTTTTCTTCCACTGGAAATATTTATTATTGCCGACAATAAAAATAAATCAAAACGAAGGTAAATTATTTTAGTTTTTTAAGCTATTTAAGGTTTTTTTAAAATATGATCCCGAAATCCGCAACGTTTTTTAAAACCGAAAAATTGAAAAGAGGAATTTTTTTTCGAAATTCTTTTCGACTTTCCATGATTTTAAAAATTTTATTAATGTTAATTAATTAACTTCTCTTAATTGATGTTAATCAATGAAATAAAAATATAACAGAAAATTGGTTTAATTTATTAATATTATTATCAACTTTAATCATTATTTGCAACGTTTTTAAAAGCGAAAAATTAAAAAGAGGAATTTATTTTCCAAATTTATCTCGAATTTTCATAATTTTTCTTATTTTATTAATGTTAATTAATTAACTTCTTTTAATTGATGTTAGTTAATGAAATAAAAATGAAAAAGAAAATTGGTTTAATTTATTAATATTAATATCAACTTTAATAATTATTTGCAACGTTTTTAAAAACGAAAAATTAAAAAGAGGAATTTCTTTTAAATTCATCTCGAATTTTCATAATTTTTTTTATTTTACATCAATTAAGAAAAGTTAATCAATTGACATTAATAAAATAAAAAAATCATGAAAATTCGATATGAATTTTAAAAAAACTTCCTATTTTTAATTTTTAAAAACGTCGCGGATATTAATTAAAGTTGATATTAATATTAAGAAATTAAACCAATTTTCCTTTTTATATATATTCAATTTTTGAAAAATTATATTTTTAAAATCATTTTTTCATAAAGTTTTAATTTATTTTTCAATTAATATTTTTTAAGAAATTGTATTATTATTGGAGCAGTTTTGATAAAAAGCTCTAAATTAACAAAATTATCTCTTGGAATTTTAATTGAATATATTTAATTATTACAAAAAAAAATGAATTTTAAACGTAGATATCGATGTTTAGATAAATATCTTAAAAATTTATCTTTTTATGAAATTATTACTTAAAACATTGTTGCAATTGTTCAAAAATAACATGAAATTGAAGCCAAAATTAAAATAAATCGTCGCATTATTTTTTCATTTTCGTTTTTAAACATTTTGCGAATATTAATTAAAGTTGATATTAATTTTACTAAATTAAACCAATTTTCTATTTCATTTTTTAAAAATTAATATTTTTAAATTCATTTTTTCATGGTTATAATTTATTTTTCAAAGTATTATTTTTAAGAAATAATTGTATTATTATTGGAGCACTTTTGATCAAAAGTTCTAAATTAACAAAATTATCTCTTGCAATTCTAATTGAATATATTTAATTATTACAAAAAAAAATATTGAATTTTAAACGTTGATTAGATAAATTTCTTAAAAATTTACCTTTTTATGAAATTATTTCTCAAATCGTTGTTACAATTGTTCAAAAATAACATGAAATTGAAGCCGAAGGTAAATTTTACTTTGAAAATAATTTTTTTCATTTTTAAAAATTTTGCAAAGTTTCATTTTTTAATTAAAGTTTTTAAAATCTTCAAGACAACGAATTTATAAAGTATTTGAATTAAAACCAAATTTCAAAACAGTAATAAAACGAAAGTGAATAAATTATAAATTCTTTTTGTAAATTATCCAAAAAAAGAAAAAGAAATTAACATTTATTATTCAAAATTGCTCGCAATTAATTATTATTATTGGAGTAGACTTAATCAAAAGCTTCCAATGTAACGAAATTCTTTTGGAATTTTAATTAAATGTTTCATTATTAAAAAAAAATCATTAAATAATTGAATTTCGTGGATTTTTTCCATTTTCGAAAAGTGAACAAAAATTGATTTTTTTTCGATCAATTTTTCCCTCTTTTTAGTAAATATTTAATATTTTTTAGTTGTTAATATCGATGGTTGCTTATCGATCGCACTTGTTACGGTACTGGGTCTGAAGGAGCGAAAAAGAACGATGGAACGAGTAAGCTAGCAGCAGCAGCAGGCAGGCAGAAACGTTAGTCTAGTCCGTCCGTCAGTGCACGCCAGTCCGCGACCGTAAGCGTGTTGTTCCGGATTAGTTAGCACGTCATCCTCTGTTTGCTTTTTAGTTTATAGCAGTCGAAAACAAGAAAAAAAAACCAAGAAACGAAAAAACAAAGACTAGTGCTTTAAAAAAGAAAAAAGATTCTACATTACTAATAAAAAAAAATTCAAATCAAGAAACAAACCAAAAAAAAAAGGAAGAAAGAAAGAGAATGTTCTAATTTTGCTCCAAAATATACCTCAACAATTTCGCTGTCGATTTTACCAAAAATAAAAAGTATTGGGTAAATTAAAAAAAGTGAAATTAAAAAATTGTGAAAGATTTTGTGTGTGTGAAAAAAAGAACGGCGTGCATCGCTTTCTGTGAGGCGTCTTGAAAACCCGTACCCAACCCGTCGCTCACCAACAGAGGCAAGCAAGCAGGCGGACACGCACACTACTCACGCACTCTCTCGAAGCCCTCATTCCGTCTGCTCCGTGTTCAGTTTCCTCACCCCGCCCCTAGTCCTTTTTGCGCTCATCCTATTCTTCCATCCTCTTTTTTTTATTCCACCAAAAGAAAAAAACGAAGAAGAAGAAGAACATGAAAAACTCGAACCACATGGACGTCTAAATAATCATCATCCAAGAAAACCATGGAAGAGAGCCAACTGATGACAGAACTTCCGGCGATAACGCCGAATCGTGGCGCGACACTGATAAATCGTTCCGGTCATTGTTATCAGCTCCATCGTCCTCATTTGGTACCGTATAAAAAGCAAAAATTACCCGACGACGTAACGGCGGAATCAATCGAATCGGCCGCAAACGCGGTTACAAACACTGTCCTGGCCAGCAATAATCAACGACAAGACAGTAGTTGTTCCGCCTTGATAGCCACCAAACGAACATCATCAAATTCCCATAATTTATCATGTTCCACACACAGCGAGGGACCACAATCAAAAAGACCCCGGATCCAATCGCAATCGCCTTCAATAACAAGCACTCACGTCTCAAGTCTCTATCCCGAAATACTCGCTCATATTTTCAGTTATCTCGATATACGTGATCGTGGACGTGTCTCACAGGTTTGTCTCGCCTGGAGGGATGCAGCCTATCATCGTTCCGTGTGGCGAGGGGTTGAAGCCCGTTTACACCTGCGACGACAAGCACCGACTCTATTTTCAAGTTTAGTGCGAAGGGGCATTAAGAGGGTACAAGTGCTCTCATTGAAAAAAAGTCCCGGCGAAGTATTCAAGTGTATGCCAAATTTAGAATCACTCAATTTATCCGGTTGTTACAATGTCACTGATTACGGTATGAAAAATGCTCTGTCCGAAGGTTTTCCCTCAGTGACAAAATTAAATCTCTCGTTATGCAAACAAGTCACCGACACCTCAGTCAATAGAATATCGAAATTTTTACGAAATCTCGAACATTTGGAATTGGGCGGCTGTGGGAATATCACCAATGCCGGTCTGCTAATCATCGCTCGCGATCTCAAGAAACTAAAAACATTGGACTTGAGAAGCTGTTGGAATATTTCCGATCAGGGAATCGCCTATTTGACGCATTTAAATATGCCACTCGAGCATCTCGGTCTACAGGACTGTCAAAAATTATCCGACGAAGCATTACGCTATGTGTGGAATGGTTTAGGAAAAACGTTAAAATCGATTAATTTATCATTCTCGTGTATTACGGATTCGGGACTTAAGCACTTGGCGAAAATGACCGAATTACAGGAACTTGACTTGAGATCGTGTGATAATATTTCGGAGATTGGTATGGCTTATTTGGCGGAGGGTGGCAGTAGAATATCGTCGTTAGACGTTTCGTTTTGTGAGAAAATTGGTGATCAGGCGTTGGTTCACATTTCACAGGGTTTATTTAACTTGAAATCATTGTCACTATCGGCGTGTCAGGTCAGTGATGAGGGTATATGCAAGATTGCGAAGTCTCTACAGGATCTTGAGACACTCAACATTGGACAGTGTAGTAAACTAACGGACAAAGGACTGCACACGATTGCAGATAGTATGAAACATTTAAAGTGCATCGATCTGTATGGATGCACGAGGATCACGACCAATGGACTTGAAAGAATAATGAAGCTACCACAACTCAACACGCTAAATCTAGGACTGTGGCATGTACGGTGATAGTGGTTCCATGGGGGCGAGTCAACAACAACAAAAAACAAAAAAAAAAGGAGGAAAAAATAGAAAGAGAGAATGGTACGTATCTGCGTGCATCATGTCGCGCACACACGTGCGCGAACACGTGATTTTATTTCTCGCACTCTTCCTATACTCTTTTCTTTTTTTTTCTTTTTTTTTTCTATACTCCTCTTTTTCCAAATCGAAGTTTTATGTGCAAAACCACGCTCGCGAGCCCTGCAGCATGAGTGATAGGACTTTTATTGGTCTCGACTATCAGTTTTTTTTTCGGGGGATTTCTTGTTTTTTATATTTCGATCACGGGAGGTCTCTTCGAATTATTTTCTTTTTTTCGAGAACATCAAAATTCAGACGTATTTCTTGAAAATAATTACATTACAGTCTACAATGTTTTTGAGAAGGAAAAATTAAATATTTTTTTAAATATTTGTTGTTTATAAATGTTTATAAATTAAATTGTTTATAAATGTTTACAAATTACAGTCCTCGGACTTTTTTCGACTTATTTTCAAAAATTACGACTTTTTCGCCTTTTCTTCCGAATATTGCAATAATTTTTAGTATAAAATGCAACTTATTTTTCGAAATTTACAATTGAAAAGAGTTTCAATAAATATTGAAATTTTGTAAAATTTAATTAAAAATAATTGATTTTTTAAAGTGTTTTTTTTCAAATTTTTGAAAATCAACATTTGAAGAATTTTAATTGCAAATTTTGAAAATAATTTAAATTAAATTCCTCGGAAGAATTTAATTTTTAAAACAATTTTTAATATATTTTGAATAAATTCAATTATTTTTTAAAATCTTAATAAATCCTTCGAAACAATTCATCTATTTTGATAAATTACTAAATAAATTTTCAAAATTTACAATGAAAAAGAGTTTCAATAATTGAAATTTTGTAAAATTTAATTGAAAATAATTGACTTTTTTCAAAGTGTTTGATAAAAATTTTTGAAAATAATTGATTTCTCAAAAATTTTAATGAAAAATCTTTAAAGTGTAAATTTAAAAATGGTAATTAATGAAAGTAAGCTACAAAAAAATGATATTAAAATATTTTTGATAAAAATAATTCTTAGAATTTTCGCATTCTAATTTTTTTAAATTCAATTATTTTCAATATTTTTAAATACAAATTTCCAAAAATTTAAATACACAAAAAATAATATAACATTAAAATTTTTTACAATTAGTTTTAAAAATTTCAATTGTTTGGAAATTTTTCAATTCTATATAATTAAAAAACTATTATCTTTCATAAATTATTTTAAAAATATTTTTGAAAAATTAATTTTAAGAATTTCTTTATTATTATTATAATTTTTTGAAAATTAATTAATAACTTAAAAAACATGGGACAATTAGAATCATTATAAAGAACTGAATTTTTGTATTTAAATAATAAATCTGTTTTTATTGTAGCCTTAAGGTCAGAATATGAACAGATTTATTTGACAAAAATTAAGATCCTGAAAACATTCTAAGTTGTATTTAAATAATTGAATTCTCTAAGAACTTTCGGAAAATTATTAAAAATAATTGATTTCGAGAAGAAGTTTGATTAAAAATTGTAGAAAATAATTGAATTTTAAGAGAATTAAAGTTGTAATTTTTAGAAGTTATTAAATTCAGTAAAATGAAAATTTATAATCAAATTTCTCTCTAAAAATTAATTTTTTAAAAAATAATTCTTTTATAGAGAAAAATTGTTCTCGAATTTTGATTTATCAAAATAAATATTCCATTGAATAAAAATTTAACAAATAGAAATTCTTTACAAAATTTTCATTTAAAAATATAGATTATAATAAAAAATTCTCTAAAAGGAAAATTTTTACTCGAATTTACATTGAAGAAAATAAATTAATATTTCAAGAAATAAAAATTCAGTAAAAATTAAATTCTTAACTGAATTTTCATTCAACAATAAATATTTTAACAATTTAGTAAAACGGAAATTCATCGACGAATTCCCCTCTGACAATAAATATTTTAATATAAAATAATTCTATAAAATGGAAATTCTTTTCGAATTTTTAATTTAACAGAATATTTATTTCGTGAAATTAAATATAATTCCAAATAAGAATTCTGCTTTATAAAATAAGGAATTTTATATCATGAAATAGATTTTTTACTGCCGCCACTTTCCATTCAGAGAATTTTTATTTTTCTGCAAAATTGTATTAAATAAAATATTTAATTTATATTTATTTATAATTTGTAATTTATAATTCTAACTAAAAATAAAAATAAAAATATGTTTAGTAAAATTTTGCTTAAAATAAAAACCCTTTCACTGCGGAAAAAAGTAAAAAGTCACTCTAGTAAAAATTCAATTCCATAAAATTCGATATTACTGAAAGTGGAGTACAAAATTATTTTTAAAATTCTGTAAAATATGTGTAAAATTTTGTGGAATTAATAACATTTTCTACAATTATTTATTATTGTAATATTTAAAATTATTTTTCTATACTATTATTTTCTTTTTGCATCGGTTGCTGAATTCATATTTTATTTTCTACATTTTAAAATTCGTCGAAATTTCTAATTTATTTATACGCATTGAATTATTATTCATTTAATCGTTAAAAGATAATAAAAATGTTTATGAATGAAAAAAAATTGAAAGCTCAATCAAAATCTTGGTAATTAATTATTAGCAATAAAAAAAAAACATTATCAAACTCTAATAGATATTAATTATGGTATTAAAATGTACATTTAATTTACTAACTTCATTATTAATTGAATATAAATTAATTAAAGTACCTAATAAAAAATTTTAATCCGTCTTCCTCAATGTATTTTATAACGTAACATTAACAACTTTAAAATCGATAAAGTTTTTTTTTAGAAAATAAATTAATTTAAGAAATTTATTTATTTCATTATATTTTATACATTTATATATTATTTCATTATTTATTTATTTACAAAATCTGTTAAAATTTCTTTTTCATATTTTTTCACTTATAACGAAATTTTTTTTCCGATTAAAATATTTCGAAAAAATGTCACAATTCAAAAAAACGTTTATTAATTCAAAGAAATTAATAATAATGAAAAATAATTAAATTTTATTAAAATTTTATTAAATTAAACATGAAATTTATTAAGTAATTAGACAAAATTAATAATGAATTGATTCATAAACCATCTGCACTTTTTTCTATCTTTCTCTCTCTCTCTCTCTTAAAAAACATCTGTACTCGATAGAATATCAAACAAACAATTCTATTCACTTGAATGTTCGACGATCAGATTTTTTTAAATTACTTAACTGACAAGTATTCTTCCTTGAGAAGTTGAAAAAAAAACATATTTCTTATTTTAAAACCCGCAATAAGTTCCAATTAGTTATGGAAAAAAAAAATAAAACAAAAATTGAATTACGTAATTCTTTTGATCAATATACAATCGAGAATAATTGTTTTGTTATTTACGAGTGTTTCTTTTTTCTTTATTTAGAAAAATCAGTTGGCAAAATTTATGCATTCATAACAATAATTTAAAAATTTTCTTGAATAGTAATATGTTTTTTTTTCATTAATTTATTCACATCAGGAAGTTGGATTTATAGTTAGAGAAGTAAAAATATCTTTTAAAGTAATTTATCCTCTTTGTTATTTCTTTTCTGCAAAAAATTTTTTTATTTTTTAAAAAAAAATTCCTAGAAGACGATAATGTTAATTAATTTCTACTCTTCATTCTCTAATTCAATTTTTAATTTTTATTATTTTTCTCTTTTGTGAAAAATATTTGAAAATAGAAAAAATTTTTAATTAAATGTATTAAAACTGTTCCTGCAGTTTCGACAATTTTTTTTTACTTTTTAATTTGAATTTAAAAAAATTTTATTTTAAAAAAATTAATTCTAAAGTAAGTAAATATTTAATTTTAATTATTTTTCTCTTCTTTATAGTAATTTCGAAAAAATATTTAAATAGAAATAAATTTCGTTCATTTCAACGTTCGGAACTTTAAGAAACTTCAAAGTGAGACAAATTTTTTTTTGTGGTAAAAAAATTACAGTGAAAAAATTTTTGTAAAAACAGTTATTATTTTCAAATTGTTAATTATTTGAAGATGATTAACTATTTAAATTTCAAATTTTCGGAATTTTGAAATAATTTTGTAAAAACTTGTTTTGGTAAAAATTTTGTAAAAATTCTTTATAAATTGATAATAATGATAATAATTTAGTCAATTCATTATTTGTCAAATTATTTAGATTCAAAAATTAATTTTGAAATAATTCTCTATAAATAATTGTATAAATAATAAAATGAATTGATAATTATTTAGAATTATAATTATTAAATTATTTTTATTCCGAAATTACTTTTTTTCGTAAAAATAAAGTCAATAAATATTTGCGACGAACAGAAAATATTTAAACTTTCTAAATATAAATTGACATCGAAAGCTTACATATTATAGAATTATAAAATAATTTCTAAAACTCGTACATGTGGAAAATATTTTCCTTCAACTTTGTTGAAAGTTGTAAAAATAAAAATGGCAAATAATTCGAAACCATTCATATTCTCATTGTTTGTCACGAAAACACATTAAATTTATGGTTATTTTGCCTCTTTTTTTGTTGAAAAGGGCTGAGAAGGGAAATATTTTCGAAAATTCAAATTTGTAGGTATAGATAATTCCTTACCTTCGAAATTTTCCTCCCATTGACAAAATACAAAATTGGATGCCATAAAATGTCCTTCAATTTTTACAGTTCAAAGGGTCCCTCTCCCCTCTCGTTATTTTCCTGAAAAAGAAATTAGAATTTCAGTAAAGAACGCGCATTTGACAAAAATAAAATAATAAAATTTAGCAATCGCTTGGGAAAATTTTCTGTTGCAATATAATTGTAAAAGTATTTTAGGCAACTTTTTCTTTTTCTTCGGACAAAAAATTTCCGTGAGGCCCAATTATTAGTTTCGAAATTTTTTCTTTTCTTCTACCGTCTTTTGAATTTATTTCTATGTTATTAATATTATTATTACTATAATAATAATAATTATTATTATTATTTATTATTA